AAACGCCTCTTCTTCCCATTGAAATCAATGGAAAGCGCCATACAAAATGCCTCAAAAATGCCTTTTTAGTGCAGTTTTTAAGTCACGTATACTTTAACCACATACGTACCACCCACAGTACATTTACTGCTGCAGGGCAGCCCCTGTGCGCACAATCATATATATATATATATATATATATATATATATATATATATATATATACACAGTTGTGTTCAAAATAATAGCAGTGTGTTGAAAAAAGTGAATAAAGCTCAAAATCCTTCTAATAGCTTTTACTTCCATACACACAAATGCATTGGGAACACTACACATTCTATTCCAAATCAAAACATGAAGAAAAATAGATCAAATTTGTGTTGTTCCTCTAAAAAAAATTAAGAAAAGTGAATATTAGACTGTTCAAAAAAATAGCAGTGTTTGTATTCTTCTTTACAAACTCAAACATTCACTATAGAAACTGAAAAATGTTTGAAGATTTTGCTTTCCCTTTGAATCACTTAATGAATATTTAGTTGTATAAGCACTGTTTCTGAGAACTGCTGTACATCTGTGTTACATGGAGTCAACCAAATTCTGGCACCTGTGAACAGGTATTCCAGCCCAGGATGTTTGGACTACATTCCACAGTTCTTTTCTATTTCTTGGTTTTGCCTCAGAAACTGCATTTTTGATGTCATCCCACAAATTTTTCTATTGGATTAAGATCCGGGGATTGGGCTGGCCACTCCATAATGTCAATCTTGTTGGTCTGGAACCAAGATGTTGCACGTTTACTGGTGTGTTTGGGGTCGTTGTCTTGTTGGAACACCCATTTCAAGGGCATTTCCTCTTCAGCATAAGGCAGCATGACCTCTTCAAGTAATCTGATGTATTCAAACTGATCCATGATCCCTGGTATGCGATAAATAGGCCCAACACCGTAGTATGAGAAACATCCCCATATCATGATGCTTGCGCAACCATGCTTCACTGTCTTCACAGTGTACTGTGGCTTGAATTCAGTGTTTGGGGGTCGTCTGACAAACTGTCTCCGGCCACTAGACCCAAAAAGAACAATCTTACTTTCATCAGTCCACAAAATGTTGCGCCATTTCTCTTTAGGCCAGTCAATGTGCTCTTTGGCAAATTGTAACCTCTTCAGCACGTCTTTTTTTCCACAGTGGGACTTTGCGGGGGCTTCTTGCAGATAGCTTGGCTTCACATAGGCGTCTTCTAATTGTAACAGTACTCACAGGTAACTTTAGACCTTCTTTGATCTTCCTGGAGCTGATTGTTGGCTGAGTCCTTGCCATTTTGGCTATTCTTCTATCCATTCAAATGGTAGTTTTTCGCTTTCTTCCACGTCTTTCAGGTTTTGGTTGCATTTTAAAGCATTTGCGATCATTTTAGCTGAGCAGCTTATCATTTTCTGCACTTCTTTATATGTTTTCCCCTCTCCAATCAACTTTTTAATCAAGGTACGCTGTTCTTCTGAACAATGTCTGGAACTACCCATTTTCCTCAGAATTTCAGAGAGAAATGCACTGTAACCAGCAAGTACAACATTTGCTGCCTTCCTTCCTTAAATAAGGGCAATAATTGCCACCTGTTTTTCAAAGAATGACCTCACTAATAGAACTCCACACTGCTATTATTTTGAACATGCCCCTTTCAATTAGTGATTCAATTACACAGAATCAGCAGCATGCATGTCATGACTGTTGGGTCTGTTGGATTTCTATTACTCTACTACACCTGCTAGTAAATTATTTGCCATGTAGAAATATCATTTCTACCAAAAACAGTAATTGATCAGGTTAGTGATGTCTGACTGCTATTATTTTGAACACAACTGTATATATATATACGTGATTCACACTTCCACAGTCTTCGCGGATCGGGGGGGGCGCACGCGCGCAAGGGATCAATCATCTGATTTAGGCCAGTGATGTCCGGCCCAAGGCGGATGATCAATCACTGTCCTATCCTGTCCTATCCTGTCCTGTGTTGACAGTTACAAAGAACACGAAGTGATGAAATCTTCTCTCTCTGGGCACATTCCGTCCCAGAGAGAGAATCAACATAAACTGTGAGTAAAAGCACTACACAATGACAGTTAGAACACTCTAGGACACATTTAACCCCTTGATCGTCACCCCCAGTTAACCCCTTCACTGCCCTGTTACCAATGTCATTAGTAGTGTACAGATTTTTTGCTGATCAATGTATTAGTGTCACTGGCGACGTCAGATAGCGATAGCGTCAGTTAGCGCCCCTCCCAGATAGCATCAGACCAGTAATCACATTTAACCCCTTGATTGCCAGGAGCACGCTCACATACACAATAAACCTCCATTGATAGTATAGTGTCTGAATGGATCAATACCTTTGATCAGATAAGCACTTTACCAGCGTTCACATTAGTATAGCGTCCCCAAAAAACGCAGCATTAGCGGGATCAGCCCGGAACCTGCCGGCACCTGCATTTAGCCCCCCCTTCTCCCCCAGCAAGTGCAATGTCAGTAGGTCACTGTCACTTGATACATTGCACACAAAACCGCAGTGTTCTCAGAATCAAAAAATAAAAAGTGCACAGGTGATCAAATACCACCCAAAAAAAGCTCTATTTGTTTGAAAAAAAGGACAAACTTAATTTATGTACAGCATTGCATGACCGCGCAATTGTCAGTTAACCAACGCAGTGCTGTATAGCAAAAAATGGCATAAATTGCAGTATCTATACCATAGTTTGTAGACGCTATAACTTTCACACAAAGCAATCAATATACACTTATTGGGATTTTTTTTTACCAAAGACATGTAGCAGAATACATTTTGGCCTAAATTTATGACTAACTTTGAGTTTACTATATATTTTTTATAGCTGAAAGTAAAATATATTGGTTTTTTTTTCAAAATTTTTCGGTCTTTTTTTATTTATAGCACAAAAAACAAAAAGTGCACAGGTGATCAAATGCCAACGAAAGAAAGCTCTATTTGTGTGGAAAAAAAGGACATAAATTTAGTTTGGGTACAGCACTGCATGACCGCGCAATTACCAGTTGAAATAGCGCAGCAAAAAAAAGGCCAGGTCATTAAAGGGAGTAAATAATCAGGATGGAAAGTGGTTAAAAAACACTCAGAAAAAACGCGGTAAAAATGCCTATGCGTTTTTGCGACAGATCAGTGTGAAAGTAGCCTGCTTCCACTTGACAGGCAGTATGCCTGTCAGTTATAGACACAATCTAGGTGGCTGCAGCCACTGGAATGTGTGTAAAATGCCACACTGTCAAGTCCATACGATGTGCGGACCTGGCAGCAAAAGGGTTAAAGTAGAACTATAGGCAAAACATTTTTTTTTCATTTTGGATAGAGCAAGGGTAGTTTACAATCCCTGTCAGATTTTTTTTTGCCATCTGTGTCCCATTGATTAAATTTCCCTTCACTTTATCATCTGTCAGATTATACTTCCATAGCCAAACAGGAAGTGAGAGGAAATCCCTGCCAATTATGGGAATTCCTTGGGGCACCCCAGGTCACCAGAACTAGTGTCCCCATTGGAAGAATTTTCTTCTATTGCTTTTCTGGGAACAACCGAAAATTTGGGGATTTTCTTTTACTTTCAATGATGATGATCAACAGGACAAACAGAGAGGGAGAATCTCTCTAACGGGAGTGCAGAGAACAATAAAATTCTTTATTAATTCTTAGTGGCACTCCAAATGCAGCCAGCGGACGCATGCTTTTGCACATGGCAAAACAAGCAACAAACAAGCCAAAACATGCAGTAAAATAAAACCATGTGAAGCTCTATGCCCAAAAAGATGCAGGATGTTCCTTGATGCCATTTTGCACATAGGGCAGCCCATTCAAGCGAAAACATGCGAAGAGTGCACAAAAATGGGCATTCCCGCTACGCTAGGTGTGACTTGGGCTAAGGCCTGCCTGATGCGTTAATAACTGAATGAATTAATATAAGTTAATACTTGTGGGCTACTAAATGGTATTTAAATGAAGTAATTATAATACATTTATACTAATACCTAATATGGTGGTGCATCAACACTACTGCACATACCCATAAAACTGTGCCAGATTGATTAATAATAATAAATTAATTATATGTGTCGCTCTCCACCTGTTAACTATAAATTAAATTAAATTTGATAACACCATATGATAACATGTAAAAGCTATATAATATGGTATACCTCCTATACCAATATACAAACGTGCTGAAAATTCCAAAAATCTAATATATAATATTAAGAAATGAATATCAAAAATTGTATAAATGTGATATTGTGCACACTAGCTAGGCTACGTTCACGCTAGCTTTGTTAGCAGTCATTAGACAGGCGTTTGGGAAGCGTTTTTAATTCTACACATGGCAGCACAGAGTGCTGTTCACATGGAAGCATTAGCGTTGTGGCAAAATTGACGCCTCATGTCTAGTCAGGAGGAGTTGAAGCCTCCCATTCAAGTCTATGGTGACACTCCTCAAATGCCTGGCAGGCGTTTGCAGAGTGTTAATACCATTAAACTTCATTGTAGGCGATTAACACTTTGTAAACGCCTCAAAACGCACAAAAAATGCTTCCCAAACACCTGTCTAACGCCTGTCAAATGTTATAGGGGCTAGAAATTAGAAATGAGTCAAGTATGAACGAGTCCTAACAGTTTCCAGGCACGCTGATAAAAGCCATGGCTTTGGGAAATCCCCGAACAGAGCGTGTTGTGTTCCTGCTTGGAATTCGCCTGACTCACTTTCCTGTTTTAGAGGAATATGTCATCCTAAACGTACATCAGACGTTTTGTTTTCAGTTTTACCAATAAACACTTGTCTATGGCAAACTGAATGGAAAAACTTCCTAAACTGGGCCCCTTTTATGGTCCCAACTCACTGGGGCATATCATAGTCACAGCACTGGGATCTAAGAGGAACAAGCAGCTTTCTTTTCAGCAACTACAAGGTTAATAATCTGCCACTCCCAGACCAGTTTCACAGGAAGAAGCCGAGCAATGACAGCGTCAGCCTCTCAGCAGAATCCGCGCACTGGGGGTTAAAAATCTTCGGAGTTCTGGTGAGGATAGTGAATAACGCACGCCATAGCCACAATGACGCACTTAGCAGTAGTGGGGAGAGCGCGCCTACCTATCATAGCAGGATCAGGAAAGGGGGCTGCAAAACTAGGCTTTTCAATGGTTAACTGCTTCCTTGTATATACTGTGTACGGTGGGAGCACTACATTACGGGGGGGGGGGGGGGGGGGTGAGGAAATATGGCACTTATCCCAAATTGTAATGTGCGACATGTTATTAACAGGCAGAAACAATTCAGGAAGTGAAAAACGAGTCTCAAAATGTCTGCTGCAGTCAGTGGAGGCAGAACACAGTCTTTAGGACACTGATATGCTTTGTGTGCTCACATACGGCGTACAATGTGTGGCTTTCTGATGACAACAAGCTGTAGTTGTAGGAATCATCATCATTTACTGAGTGATTCGGGATGGTTTAACTACTTTTTTTTTGACAACCACCACACCCATTACTACTTGGTTCTTACTTACATGTTTACAATCAGCCCTTATAATTGCATGTCAGAATTGTACTGTGGATACTTTACAGGGAAATGTTCATGAGCGGAGCGTTCAGAAGACACAGGAAACAGGAACTCTGCTTTAGTCGAGGTTCACACCTATGCGTGTTCCACAGCGTTTTGCAGAAACATACTACAGTCCATTTAACATGATTTCCTATGGAACACGTTCATGTCTCTGCGTTTTTTTACCCGGTGCGTTTTTTGGAAAGGGTCGGTCTTTTTTCAATGAAATAAGTTGCATTTTTGGTTCTATAGACTTCAATGAAGATACTGCAGAAAAGCACATAGTGTGTTTTTGCTGTGTTTTGCGGTTTAATTTACCTAGCAATAAGAAAAGAAAAAAAACGCAGCAAAAATGTGGCAAAACACGTACAAAAATGTGGCAAAACACGTACAAAAACGCAAAATGCACTGCAGAAATGGATCATATGCAAACTGCATAGTTGTGAACCTAGTCTTATTTCATTTTCCTGCTTTGCTGAATAAGCCATCTACAATGTAAAAAAAACTATTTGCAAGAGCTGACAGTACAGCCCCTGGCTGAGCCTGGGTTCACATATATGCGGTGCTGTATATCGCATGAGATTCACACATTCCTGTACAAATCACATGCGATTTGAGCCATACATTTTGTATGGCTCTAATCGCACCGCACCAAAAACGTGCAGGACCCTTTTTTTGGTCGGCACTAGAATCGAATCGCATGGGTATTCACACCTATGCGATCCTGCACATCACACCACATTTTGCAGACCGCTTTCGGGGTGTTGTTAACTTAATATACACACCCGCAGCAGTTTTCAAGAATGGGGTGCGATTCTGATGCAGTGCAGAATTTGCACAGAAAACACTGCATAGTCCTCACCACATCAGTGTGAACCAGGGCTGAAAGTTTTGAGAATGACATAAATATTACTTTTCACAAAGTCTGCTGCTTCAGTGTTTTTAGATGTTTCTGTCAGATGTTACTAAGGTATACTGAAGTATAATTACAAGCATTTCATAAGTGTCAAAGGTTGTTATTGACAATGACATTAAGTTTATGCAGAGTCATTATTTGCATTGTTGACCCTTCTTTATCAAGACCTCTGCAATTCGCCCTGGCATGCTGTCAATCAACTTCTGGGCCACATCCTGACTAATGGAAGTCCATTCTTGCATAATCAATGCTTGGAATTTGTCAGAATTTGTGGGGGTTTTTTGTTCACCTAGCTCTTGAGGATTGACCACAAATTCTCTGAGATCAAGGTCTGGTGAGTTTCCTGGCCACGGACCCGAAATTTTGATGTTTTGATCCCCAAGCCACCTTTTTGCCTTATGGCAAGGTGCTCCATCATGCTGGAAAAGGCATTGTTAGTCACCAAACTGTTCTTGGATGGTTGTACCATTTTGTAGATTTTGTATCATTCTTTATTCATGGATGTGTTCTTCTGCAAAATTGTGAGTGAGCCCACTCCCTTGGCTGAGAAGCAACTCCACACATGAATGGTCTCAGGATGCTTTATTGTTGTAATGACACAGGACTGATGGTAGCGCTCACCTTTTCTTCTCCGGAAAACATTTTTTACGGATGCCCCAAACAATCAGAAAGGTGGATTCATCAGAGAAAATGACTTTACCCCAGTCCTCGGCAGCCCAATCCCTGTACCTTTTACAGAATATCAGTCTGTCCCTCATGTTTTTCTTGGAGAGAAGTGGCTTCTTTGCTGCCCTCTTTGACATCAAGCCATCCTCCAAGTCTTCTCGCTGTGCTTGCAGATGCACTCCCACCTGCCTGCTGCCATTCCTGAGCAAGCTCTGCACTGGTGGTGCCCCGATCGTGCAGCTGAATTAATGTTAGGAGATGGTTCCAGATGGTTTCTGGACTTTCTTGGGCACCCTGAAGTCTTCTTCACAACAATTGAACCTATCTCCTTGAAGTTCATGATGATCCGATAAATGGTTGATTTAGGTGCAATCTTAGTAGCAGAAATATCCTAGCCTGTGAATCCCTTTTTGTGCAAAGCAATGATGACTGCACGTGTTTCCTTGCAGGTAAATTAATATTTGTGTCATTCTCAAAACTTTTGATGTTATAATCAGGAAGTTACACAGATGGTTTGGAGCTGAGTGTTTCGTACCTACCATTGTGAGTAATGCATGAGACTATGCAATAAAGTGGATCTATCATTATCATTTTTATTTGACAGTTCTACATGTACATGTAGTACTTTGTACCATGTTTCAAAGTGCTTTCTAACCCTAGTGATGATCCAACAACAGCTTTGATAGAGATGGTCGATTCATAGCTGCAGTTTGTCTCAGCTTTGAACACTTTCCACAGATAAGCAGCAACAAGAGGAATGCAGAAAGGTGTTCTTTAATTAAATAAATAGGTGCAGCGCTAAAGTATAAATAGGTATATGGTGCCAAATTGCACCCAATCAACAAAAACAGTCACTAACTGCAAAAGACGTGAAAGCTTGACAAGCAGTAGTCAGCAGGAAGTGAATCCTCCTTTGCAATATAATAGTGACTCCGTGCTCCAATCTGTATAAATTGCGCACTCACCAGATGCACAAGGAATTAGTGCATTATATATAAGCTCCCTTTAAAGGTAGATCAGTCAGCCTGTCAGGAGTATGGATCGTCTGTCCGGACACCAGCCTCTAGTACAGCTTCTCTTCCACTGGGGGTCTCACCGAGCAGATGGCTCAAAGCCAAGCCATATATATAAAAAAAGCTGATAGTGTAGTATTTTCATATACTTCAAGAATGTATTAGTAATCCTTGTTACAAAGGTTGAGGATGTGAAATCCTCTAATCAATGGTAAAAGCATGCAAAAATATGTATATTATTAAAAACAAGCAGAGCTGATAACAATGGCTGTATCAGCCAATAACCAAGATGGCTGCCAGACCTCACGTGCGGCAACGGCAGCATGACGTCACCGCATTAGGGCTCCTCCTTAACGCATTTCGTGCTATGGCACGTTATCAAAAGGGGTGTGTCTATGGCGCTAAAGGCCACTACCATGTCGCCCCATACAGTGCTCAGCATAAATGAGTACACCCCAACAGATTTGTCAGAAAAAGGTTTTCCTCTCAGAATCCACATTTTCTATGGGACACTATACTACAAAATACTCCCATAAATACGGGTCTTTGATTGCAAACAAGATTTGCTATTTGGCACACACAAAACTAACCAATTCATTCAAGACCATGTTGAAAAAATTAATACACCAAAATGAAAGTCTTAGGAGCAAAGCTGAATTTTAGACAACAAAATCCTAATTTACAAGAATTCAACTACAGGTGAGTCTAATTGTTCATTAACCACTAGCCTACAGGGCACTTATACCCCCTTCCTGCCCAGGCCAATTTCCAGCTTTCAGCGCTGTCACACTTTGAATGACAATTGCGCAGTCATGCAACACTGTACCCATATGAAAGTTTTATCATTTTTTTTAGACAGCTAGAGCTTTCTTTTGGTGGTATTTAATCACCTCTGGGATTTTTATTTTTTCTTAAACAAACCAAAAACCACTGAAAATTTTGAAAACAAAAACATTTTTTCTTTGTTTTTGTTATACAATTTTGTAAATAAGTGATTTTTCTCCTTCACTGATGTGCGCTAATGAGACTGCAGTGATGGGCACTGATAGGCTGCACTGATGGACACTGATAGGTGGCACTGATGGGCACTGATGAGGAGGCACTGGTAGGTTGCACTGATGGGCATTGACAGGCATCACTGATGGGCACTGAAAGGCAGCACTGATACATGACACTGATATATGGCACTGCTAGGCGGCACTGACTGGCACTGTTAGGCGGCACTGATGCGCACTAATAGGCGACACTGACTGGCACTGATTGGCAGCACTGATTGGCGGCACTGATTGGCTTTGATAGGTGGCACTGACTGGCACTGATGGGTGACATTGAAAGGCAGCTCAGATGGGCACTGATATGTGGCATTAATGTGCACTGGTATGCACTGATATGTGGCACTGATGGGCACTGGCACGTGGCACTGATGAGCACTGACTGCTGGCAATGATGGACACTGACAGGTGGCACTTCTGGGGCCACACTGATCATCAGGGCACACTGATCATCAGTGCCCTGATGATCAGTGTACATGTCCCCTCCACGGAAAGCCGATTACCGGCTCTCCTCTCCTCTCGAGCTGTCAGTGTGACAGCTCGAGAGGAGAGAAATGCCGATAACCGGCATTTCCGTGTTTACATGTGATCAGCTGTGATTGGACACAGCTGATCACATGACCGAGTCAACATCTTCGGCTCTTTTCTTTTGCCCACCAGTGAGTACCCATCTGTGCTCATCAGTGCCCGCCAGTGATTGCATATCAGTGCTCATCGGGGCCCGTCAGTGCCCATCTGTGCTCATCACTGGCCACCAGTCAGTGCCCATCTGTGCATATCAGTGCTCTTTAGCGCCCATCTGTGCTCATCAGTGCACATCTGTGCATATCAGTGCCCATCTGTGTACATCAGTGCTCATCGGTGACCATCTGTGCTCATCGGTGCCCAACTGTGCATATCAGTGCTCATCGGTGCCCAACTGTGCATATCACTGCTCATCAGTGCCCACCTGTGCATATCGGTGCTTAACAGTGCACATCAGTGCCCATCAGTGAGGGCTCATCAGTGCCCATTAGTGAGGGCTCATCAGTGTCCACCAGTGCTGCCTTATCACTGCAGCTTATCAGGGCCCCTCAGTGCTGTTTCATCACTGCAGCTTATCAGTGCTGCCTCATCCCTGCAACTTATCGGTGCACATCAGTGCTCATCAGTGCTACCTCATTACTGCAGCTTATCAGTGTCACTAATTCGTACACATCAGTGCCACCCTATCAGTGGATCCTCATTAGCACCCATCAGTGCACATCAGTGGCAGTTTATCAGTGCAGCCTCAGTGCAGTGCATTATTGCACATTAGTGCAACCTCATCAGTGCCCATTAGTGCAGCCTCATCACTTCACATCACCACCCATCAGTGCACCCTCATCAGCACCCATCAGTGCACCCCCATCAGCGCACCCTCGTCAGCACCCAGCAGTGCACCCCCATCAGCACACACAAGTGCATCCTCATCAGCACCCATCAATGCACCCTCATCAGCACCCAGCAGTGCACACCCATCAGCACACACAAGTGCAGCCTCATCAGCACCCATCAATACACCCTCAGTGCACCCTCATCAGCACCCATCAGTGCATTTTGTGTAAAAAAAAAAAAAAAAAGTTTTAATTTTTCTTTCCACATATTCCTAAACCTTGGGGGAAAAAACAACATGTTCAAAAGACTCATTATGCCTCATATAATATTTTGTTGGGGTGTTTGTGTCTCAAAATGGGGGCCATTTTGTGGGTAATTCCATTGTCCTGGTGCTTCAAGGCCTTAGGAAGTGTAATAGGTAGTCAAGATATTAGATGTGTAATTTATGTCCCTAGAACACCTGATGGTGCTCCTTGCATGTTGGGACTCTCTATGTGGTCAGGCTGTGGAAAAGTCTCACACATTTGGTATCATTCTAGTCAGAGGAGCAGCAGAATGTATTTTGGGGTGTAGTTGCAAGTATGTCTGTGCTGTGTGTGAGAAATAACTTGTTAATATGACAATTGTGTGGGGCAAAAAAAAAATAAAATCTTAATTTTCCAAAGAATTGTGGGAAAAAATTACAACTTCAAAAAACTCACCATACCTCTTACTAAATAGTTTTGAATGTTTACTTTCCAAAAAGGGATCATTTAGGGGGTATTTGTACCAGGGCTGTGGAGTCAGTAGATAAATGTTCCGACTCCTCAGTTTTTTGTACTTCCGACTCCGACTCCTCAGTTTTTGTACCTCTGACTCTGACTCCGACTCCTCTGTATTAATATGCAAATGTATTTTATACATTCCTTGAAGGAAAGAAAGGCTACATACATGTCATTACCACAGGACTACTGGCTGGGAAGCCAACAGTCTACTGTATTGAACAGTTTAAGCAAAAGACAAACACAATGAAAACAACAAAGTTTTATTAATTTTTTTTTATTAATTAATCAAGTGGCTGGATAGTAGCAGCAGGCATAAACATCAGGAACAGGAACTTTACCAGTCCAAAAATACAAACCACATTATTTGGTTGTTTGAGAACAAAAACAAAGCTTATCTATATGAACCAAAAACAAAATCTGTAAAACCTAGAAATGGTTTATATTAATCTTGAAATGTAGTTAAAGGCTTAGCAAATGCAAATCAATTCAATGTAGAGTTCTAAGGAAGAGAATTGCCTCTGCCAGATCCTCTTTCATAGAGGCTCTTAAGTCAGACTTTATTATTTTAGGGCTGAAAATAATCTTTCGACACTGACTTGGGTGGGTGGCATTGCAGTAACTATTCTGGCCACATCACTAACGATCTCTGGATAAACAAGGATGGCTTCTTCAACAGTAAGTTTTGATGAGCGATCATACTTTTCAACTTCTTCTAGTGCTTTATAAAACTCCTGTTGTCATTTTTTTATTTGGACATTTACTGGTTCTGTAACGCTTATGCAACGTCGCTTTCGTTTAGCAACTTCTATTTTGTTTAAGAAGGAATCAAAGTCTAATTCTTTGTTTGAAGAAGATGATCCTGAGTTACCACTATTGCTTAAAAGAACTTCATCCTGTGGAGGTATTTCAGGTCGTAATCCCTTCATGCGAACTGCTACATCATAGAGGGCCTTTTTCCCAGTAGCAGTCTGTTCACTGTTCAACAAAATTCGGCTCATTGGGTTGACATAAATAGCCGCTAACAAGATTTCATTTTCCAGCAAAAGACTCTCTCTTTTCATCATTGAAGATGCAATTCCCTCAGCTATTAACCCTCCATTTTTGTTCAGGCAATATAACAGGCTCTTCCATTCCAAGAGGAATTTACCCGGGGTTAGATCGTCACATTGCAACCTATACAGAAAAACATGCACAGACATGTACTGTACACACACACAACACAGGGCCTACATTTTAGTACTCAGAGCATATAAACAATCTGCACTATACATAAACATTCATACATTCCTGCAGCACCACACTTACAAACCTAGGATAGACAGTTTCTTCCAGAAACATGTACACGTCTTCCCTCATACTGACAAGCAGGCATGCAGGTTTTAAAATAAATATTAACACTTACAGTTGAATCCAAGAAGCTGTTCCACCAAGTTCTTCTAAGCTCTTCTAGCAGAGAGAGGTGGTTGGGCAGAAGCTGCTGCCTTCTCCTTTTTGTGTGCTGATCTGCTGCTGAAGATAGGGCAGTGGGAGGATCCAGGAAGGGGCATTTATTATAAAACATGATTTCCCTAGTAGAATCCCATAGTCATGTTTAAAGTTTAAGTTAACAATCGGAGTTTAAAAGTTTTTATAGTCTTAGCTAAATGGCAGCAGTTTTTCCAATGGTTTACAGCTTCAGTCTTGAACTATTGACCATCCATTCCCTTCACTTATACAAGGGTCTCTAGTCCTGCAAAAAATATATTTACTTAATCCCTTATCAGTGAGAGGCTAGGTTACCCATGGGCGCTGCGTTCCCTGTAACAGCAGAACACAACACTATGGAAAGTATAAGTATTGCCGCTCCTAATTGTGCGTTGCGTGCCATATAGTGAAGCACATGAAAAGCATGCTTCTTCACGGTCTCTTAACGTGTTCGTTTTGCGGTTACGTGAGGCACTGCATGCATTGGTCTTTATTCTTACAGTAGAGAAGTCATTAATTATAACTTTTTGTGAATTGGGACATTTAAACTTGCTTTTTTTTTAATTCCAATCTAAATTTAATCGGAGTCGGAGCATTGTTTGCCGACTCCGACTCTAGGTACCCAAAATTTCCTCCGACTCCACGACTTCGACTCCACAGCCCTGATTTGTACTGTCCTGGCTTGTTAGGGCCTCAAGAATTTAGATAGGCCATCGGTACATCAGGTGTGATCAATTTTCAATGATTGGTACTATAGCTTGTAGACTATATAGCTTTCACACAGACCAAATAATATGCACTGATTTGTGTTATTTTTACCAAAGAAATATAGCAGTATAAATTTTGGTCAAAATTTATGAAGACAAAATTACGTATTTGCAAAATGTTATAACAGAAACTAAGAAAATCTAATTTTTTTCAAAATTTTCAGTCTTTTTTTAGTTTATAGTGCAAACAAATAAAAAAACCCAGTGGTGATTAAATACCACCAAAAGAAAGCTCTATTTGCGTGAAAAAAAGGATGAAAATTTTATATGGGTACAGTGTTGCATGACAGTAATTGTCATTCAAATTGTGAGCACACTGAAAGCTGAAAATTGGCCTGGACAGGAAGATGGTATAAGTAGGCAAGTGGTTAACAAAGAAAACCCCTTCCCATTTCATGCTGTCAGCAACGGCACCACATGAAAGATAAATGTGACAAGGCCTGAGAAAGAAAATAATTTTGTTACACAAGAAAGGTGAAGGCTACAAGAAGATCAGCAAAGCTTTACTTATCAGTCATAATACTGTAGTAAACGTGATACAAAAATTCAACATAGATTAATCTGCAACCATCTCACAGATATGTCAAGACCATCCACTGAAGTAACACTTCGACAGTGAGTCTTCTGATGAGAAAGGTTGAATAAAATTGCCATGCAAGTTTACTGCAGTGAGCTAAGGAAGTAGAAAGCCAAACTGGGGTTTTCTGTGACACAATAGGGCGTACACTGCAGAGGAATGGCATGCATGGGTGTCGTCCATGATGGAAGCCTCTTATAAAGCCCATGTACAAAAAACATGCCTAGAATTTGCCAGGGCCCATGCTGAAAAAGAAGATGATTACTGGGACTCTGTATGAGACCAAGATAAATGTTTTTTCAACTGATGGCTTAAAAATTGTTTGGTGTCGCAAAGGCGAAGAGTACAAAGAAAAATGCATGGTGTCTACAGTGAAACATGGTGGTGGCAGTGTCCTTCTGTGGGGCTGCATGAGTGCTGCTGGTGTTGAGAAGCTGCATTTCATTGATGGTATCATGAATTCACAGATGTACTGCTCTATATTGAAAGAGAAGATGCTACCATCACTCTGTGCCCTTGGTCATTGTGCACTTTTCCAACATGACAATGATCCAAAACATACATCTAAGGCCACTGAAGAAGAACAGGGTGAAAGTGATTCAGTGGCCAAGTATGTCTCTGGATCTGAACCCAATATAAAAAGATAGATGGAGCAATATGTCACCAACTTGTTCATTCCATGCCTAGAAGACTTGGTGCTGTCCTTACAAATCATGGAGGTCATAAGAAATACTGGATGTAGTAGTATTTGTTGTGGG